ATTTACAACCAATGTCTTGTCAAAACCTACTTCCCATCTGCATTTAAGATTGCCATAGGAATAAACTCACTAGAAGCTAGTACAGCTTGGAATCTACCAGTCGTCAGTAGAAATTATCCTCGTCGACAAGCGTTTCGGCCCACGATTCCTAGACACTTTCGGATGTGGAAAATGTAACTGAACACAAGACACTTTAGTTCTCATGTACACGCACTTGTGAAACAAACAGCTAAAAAGGTTTACCAGCTTGCAAATATTAAATACTTTCTTGATGAACACACAAGAAAGATATTCTATATTTCTCACATCCAGACATATATAGACTATTGCTCTACAAAATGGGATGTCTGTCCCAGCTCTGTTATCAAAAGGCTCACATCACTGCAAAAGCGCGCCATTCGCTTAATTAGTAACAACCATGGGACAGTGAGCTCCGAAACATATAAAGTCTTAGACTACTACCGCTTCGTGAACGCCTACTTTTCAGTATGGCGAAATTGACTTACAAAATATGATCTCAAAGGGCTCCATGCTACTTATGGCCGTTATTTAAATATAATGGAAGGCATAGTAAGCGTCTAAACATATTACACATCCCCAAACTTAGGATAGACCTTTACAAAACAGGTCTGGCATATTCCGCAGCTCAGTTGTAGAACTATTTGCCATAGCAAATCAAAAGTACTACTAGTCCCTATACAAACACTCGGAAACTGTTCGAATATTATCTGAGCACCGATTATATGCCCCCATAGAAGATAAAACATATGTGAAAAAAGCTCACATTTTCCCTAGATTTGTTACAACTACTAAGTTTTACTGTAGTTGGAAATGTGCACATTCCAGTTCTTGTATTGATTATTGTGATGCTTTTGCTAACTTTTAATATTACTTGATGTGTAAATGAAATGATGTAAGAACAGAGGGAGACCTCAAAGGGCTGAATGTTAGAATGGGCCTGCGTGCCCAATTCTTAACTCTTTAAAAAAAGTTTGTTCTATCTATCTATCTATCTATCTATCTATCTATCTATCTATCTATCTATCTATCTATCTATCTATCTATCTATCTATCTATCTATCTATCTATCTATCTATCTATCTATCTATCTATCTGTCTGTCTGTCTTTGGTTGATGCGTTATGCTATGGTTTACAGCTTTGCTGCCATTTGCGCGTGTTTCGGTCTAACGATTTCAGCAAAAACATAATTAGTCGAATTTTACGACATGCTTGTTATGTTTGGGAGCAACGTGTTTTTTCTAGTTGTTTCTAAAACACGACACCGGAACCCACACGGAGAAACAAGACTATAACCTACTTAATGACATCACCTCGTTTTTTGTGTGTGTGTGTCTGTTACACTTGCCTAGCAGTTGCCTCTCGCTTACATCTAGATAAACGTACAGGTAAAAGTGAGTGCCTTTAACTCAGTCAAACTGAGCAGGCAATACCAGCCAGTCATTCGGTCCTCTTTTCTCCCCTTCTTCCAAAACTTAAAAAAAAAAAAATCCTTGTGCAGCGAACAGTTTATCTGGAAACCACACTCCATTTCAGGACATATGTAAAGTTTAAGGCGAACCAGTGACTTCATAGAATACAGGTAAATGAAGCTGTTTTTTTTTTAATCCCCTCTGAGGAGTCTTTATGATAATTGTAGAGATTAAATTTCACGGACTGTGCAAGTTTAAACTGAATCTCATTTGTTTCTGTGTTTCTGTAACATCAGAGGTTATTCGTGAATTCTTTTTTCATCTTCTATGTTTATGAACTTGTAGATAAATAAAATACATAACCAGATTGTGACCGGTACCATCAGTACTGGAACTCTGGGTTGGCTGCTGAAGATGCGGACGGAGTATGCATGGGGATGTCACGAGTGCTGTGAAACAAATTCTTGACTTAACCCAACTCAACTCAACTCACACATAAATAGATGGGAGCGGATTGCGCACAATTGATTAGATGATTGCCACTCGCTTTGGTAGTCATTATATTCAAGAGCGATTATTTTAAAACACTCCAGGTGATTTTCAGGTCAGCTCAGTCTAAAATAGGGGACAACCATTTTTTGGGAAAGTAAAGGCAGCCATAAATTAATTTACAGCCTCAATAATCGAGTTGCTCATTTGTTCATAAAAAATGTGCGGGTTGCACCATTTAATCATTACATTTCAAAGTATGTACAATACTTTTTTTAATTAAAAAAAAAGGAGAAAGAATAGAACGTCGGGGATTACAAAATATACATTGTTTTTCTCCTTCAACTTCCTCATCTCATGTTCTTTCTTTTTTTCTGTCTTCTTTCTTTCTTTCTTTCTTTCTTTCTTTCTTTCTTTCTTTCTTTCTTTCTTTCTTTCTTTCTTTCTTTCTTTCTTTCTTTCTTTCTTTCTTTCTTTCTTTCTTTCTTTCGTCTTTCATCCTTTCGTCTTTTCTTTTCTTTTCTTTTCTTTCCTTCTTTCTTTCTTTCTTTCTTTCTTTCTTTCTTTCTTTCTTTCTTTCTTTCTTTCTTTCTTTCTTTCTTTCTTTCTTTCTTTCTTTCTTTCTTTCTTTCTTTCTTTTTTCTCTTTCTTTCTTTCTCTTTCTTCTTTCTTCTTTCTTTCTTTCTTTCTTTTTCTTTCTTTCTTTCTTTCTTCTTTCTTTTCTTTTTCTTTCTTTTCTTTCTTTCTTTCTTTTTTCTTTCTTTCTTTCTTTTCTTTCTTTCTTTCTTTCTTCTTTCTTTCAGAAAAGTAACTGTTTCTAGACTCCCGCATCAAATTGCCACGATATATTACATTTGAAACTGTCATACTTTATGTCGGTTCAGCTGTTTTCTCTGTAAACGTTGTAGTTGACAATCAGTTGTGTATCCTTCAAATGACGCTGCAGAACCAACATAAGCCATTTTTGGCCGTTTGTGGTTTTGCTAACCAATTTAAGGTTCACTACTTTTCCACTGTTACTAAACGGGGTTGGGGGGGGGGGGGCTGTCATAAACACTGCTGAGACCAAAGCAGAGCTGGTTGCTGCCAAATAAACATCAACCGGGATCAACCCAGCAGCACGGAATGACGAAGCCACAGACTCTGATTGTGACACTTTTCACTTACTTAAAACGCCATTGGTTTTAACTTTGTTTATGTGTGTGTGGAGAAGCGCTGGCAGGTTGGCACGTGCTGTTGCCAGTCACAGAAATTGTGTAAAATTATTCATTTTCATTGGAAGGATTATTTATTTTTCTTTATTGATTCGCCTAATTCTAAGAGAAGTGTATGTACTCCCACACCAGCCTCATGGAAGCCGCCGTGGTGTATGTACTCCCACACCAGCCTCCTGGAAGCCGCCGTGGTGTATGTACTCCCACACCAGCCTCCTGGAAGCGCCGTGATGTATGTACTCCCACACCAGCCTCCTGGAAGCCGCCGTGGTGTATGTACTCCGACACCAGCCTCCTGGAAGCGCCGTGATGTATGTACTCCCACACCAGCCTCCTGGAAGCGCCGTGATGTATGTACTCCCACACTAGCCCTCCTGGAAGCCGCCGTGGTGTATGTACTCCCACACCAGCCTCCTGGAAGCTGCCGTGGTGTATGTAATCCCACACCAGCCTCTTGGAAGCCGCCGTGGTGTATGTACTCCCACACCAGCCTCATGGAAGCAGCCGTGGTGTATGTACTCCCACACCAGCCTCCTGGGAGCCGCCGTGGTGTATGTACTCCCACACCAGCCTCCTGGAAGCCGCCGTGGTGTATGTACTCCCACACCAGCCTCCTGGAAGCCGCCGTGGTGTATGTACTCCCACACCAGCCTCCTGGGAGCCGCCGTGGCGTATGTACTCCCACACCAGCCTCCTGGAAGCCGCCGTGGTGTATGTACTCCCACACCAGCCTCCTGGGAGCCGCCGTGGTGTATGTACTCCCACACCAGCCTCCTAGGAGCCGCCGTGGTGTATGTACTCCCACACCAGCATCCTAGGAGCCGCCGTGGTGTATGTACTCCCACACCAGCATCCTAGGAGCCGCCGTGGTGTATGTACTCCAACACCAGCCTCCTGGAAGCAGCCGTGGTGTATGTACTCCCACACCAGCCTCATGGAAGCCGCCGTGGTGTATGTACTCCCACACCAGCCTCCTGGAAGCCGCCGTGGTGTATGTACTCCCACACCAGCCTCCTGGAAGCCGCCGTGGTGTATGTACTCCCACACCAGCCTCCTGGAAGCCGCCGTGGTGTATGTACTCCCACACCAGCCTCATGGAAGCCCCCATGGTGTATGTACTCCCACACCAGCATCCTAGGAGCCGTCGTGGTGTAGCGGCTTCACTCTTGCCTGTGGATCTGAAGGTCGGGGGTTCAGGATCTGACAGAGCTGGACTTTTTGTGTCTATGTGTGTGTGTGTGTTTAAAAATGATCTTGGCTCCCAGCCTTAAAATGGGTACCATCGAGTGCCAGTTAGTCTATAAAATATAGGTCTAGTTGAGAACATTGTTCATTTCATATGATGCCACTTAGTAAAACAAGTAAAGGAGCCTGTTCCCCACCTTCAGGCTTACTCAGCACAAATAGCTAGACCTATATTTGATAGATCAATCGGCACTCGGTCAGAGATATGGTCAACATCGCACCGACCGTACCTATATTTGATAGATCAATCGGCACTCGGTCAGAGATATGGTCAACATAGCACCGACCGTACCTATATTTGATAGATCAATCGGCACTCGGTCAGAGATTTGGTCAACATCGCACCGACCGTACCTATATTTGATAGATCAATCGGCACTCGGTCAGAGATATGGTCAACATCGCACCGACCGTACCTAGTATATAGTAAACATATTTAAAATAAAAAAGATTTTTGGTCATGTTTGCTCTAAAATTATAAACATTATATCATTTCTATCTACAGATTTGCCTTGATGATATCTGATGTGACAGCAACCGGGTGTAAAATCAATACTCTGTGAGAGCACTATGTTCTGATATCACAACATTGTCCTAACTCAAAATCCATCACACTGATCCATGGCTGATCGGCCAGAAAAGAAGCCTCGCGGAGGTGACGCGACTGAGTCTTGTTCCAGCTCTCAGAAGTCAGACAGCGACTGCAGTAAACTATCCTGGACACAGTTCTTTGACAATGAAAAGTACAGACACCAACTGATGTTGGTTAAAACCAAGCAGTATACAGAGGTTAGTTGCTTTCGTAACTTTTGCTTCATGTGAGAAATGTCATGGACCGTGCTGCGGGGAGGGGAGAAATCAGTAAGGGAATGTGAGAGCAGGTTTAAAAAATTTGATTCCAACAAAGTTTGAGAGCTAAACGTCTGAGTAAAAGCACAATAAAGACATGTGACAGCAACAGTGGTGCTGAAATCCAATGGTCTAAGGATGAGCTCAGATTGTTTAAGCCCTGAAGGGTCTTGCTAGTCACAATCACCATCCCCAAGGACTGTGATTCCTATGCCTCCTCATAGCATTGTATAACACTGCCGTCTGGAAACACGGAAGGTGCCAGCTAATCACCTGCATGTGGAGGCTCTGTTGCGACCCTCTTTTTTGTGTGTGTGGAAAGTTAAAGAAGGGGGAGTGGGAGGAGGGGGGGGGGGGTAGATTCTCAGCTTTCTAACTACAGTGTTGTAAAAACGATAAATTTACAATTTGCAAAAATATTGGCTGTGTTGCGAGGAATGGTACAAATCTCACTGCTTAACTGTAAATTACAACAAAAAGTGCCAAATGTATTTTTAAGACCGTACGCAGAAAAAAAGAAAAAAATCTTTTACAGGACTTCGCAAACCTGCCAAACCATGCTTCGACTGCTTATGGTTTTTCCAGGCAATTTAACGTTATTGCTTTATAAATGGTATGGACGGTGAATAGCCAAGAAATGACTTTGAATCCATTTATGTGTGGACTATGTAAACTGACCTCACGACCTCCCTGCTACCTACGGGCTTAAAAACAAGATTATTCTGACTCATTTCTTATTATTATGCTGCACTTTAGACATGAACACGGGTGTTCTGGTCTTCCTCGTAGAAAACCTTCAGCGTATAGTGACTTCTTCTTCTTTGTTCACCGGCTGTGAATTCCGGCGAAAGGTCCCAGTAGTTCGCCTATTTGGACTTTTGGCTTTTACCTGGACCTAAGTTTTGCGTGTACATCAGGCCACTCTGATGTCAAATGACGAGCTCACCTCATCCTCTTGATGTGCTATCCTTTCTGGCAACACCGATCTTCGGTTCAAGGGTTTGAAACAAAGGGTGAAACTGAAAACTGTTTTTCGGCGAATGAAGGTCCAGTGATGCTTAATTGTCGTGCTAGCAATTCTACGTCGTTACTGACGTCCTTGACAACAATATTGACAGGTTAGAAGACAAATACCTGGTTATTGTAATTTCTGTCCTTGACAATAATATTGACAGGTTAGAAGACAATTACACGGTTATTGAAATTTCTGTCCTTGACAATAATATTGACAGGCTAGAAGACAATTACACGGTTATTGAAATTTCTGTCCTTGATAATAATATTGACAGGTTAAAAGACAAATACATGGTTATTGTAATTTCTGTTCCTGACTATAATATTGACAGGTTAGAAGACAATTACACGGTTATTGTAATTTCTGTCCTTGACAATAATATTGACAGTTAAGAAGACAAATACATGGTTATTGAAATTTCTGTCCCTGACTATAATATTGACAGGTTAGAAGACAATAACATGGTTATTGTAATTTCTGTCCTTGACAATATTGCCAGGTTAGAAGACAATTACATGGTTATTGAAATTTCTGTCCTTAATAATAATATTGACAGGTTAGAAGACAATTACATGGTTATTGTAATTTCTGTCTTTGATAATAATATTGACAGGTTAGAAGACAATTACATGGTTATTGCAATTTCTGTCCTTGACAATAATATTGACAGGTTAGAAGACAAATACATGGTTATTGTAATTTCTGTCCCTGACTATAATATTGACAGGTTAGAAGACAATTACATGGTTATTGTTTTTCTGTCCTTGATAATAATATTGACAGGTTTGAAGACAATTACATGGTTATTGTAATTTATGTCCTTGACAACAATATTGACAGGTTAGAAGACAATTACACGGTTATTGTAATTTCTGTCCTTGACAATATTGCCAGGTTAGAAGACAATTACATGGTTATTGTAATTTCTGTCCTTGACAATATTGCCAGGTTAGAAGACAATTACATGGTTATTGTAATTTCTGTCCTTGACAACAATATTGGCAGGTTAGAAGACAATTACATGGTTATTGTAATTTCTGTCCTTGATAATAATATTGACAGGCTAGAAGACAATTACATGGTTATTGTAATTTATGTCCTTGATAATAATATTGACAGGTTAGAAGACAATTACATGGTTATTGTAATTTCTGTCCTTGATAATAATATTGACAGGCTAGAAGACAATTACATGGTTACTGTAATTTCTGTCCTTGACAATAATATTGACAGGTTAGAAAACAATTACATGGTTATTGTAATTTCTGTCCTTGACAACAATATTGACAGGTTACAAGACAATCACATGGTTATGGTAAATACTGTCACACTTTTAAGGTTTTTATTGGAAACCCCATCGCTGCGAACATTAAACCAGGAACTTGAGCCAGAATTAAGAATTAAAGCACGTATTCAGGACAACATACTTTTTTCCCCACAACAATAAACATCTACTTCCGTCTGTTTTTTTAAAACTATAGTTCACTTTGTTTATTACCATGGAAATGTCCCCAAAGGTCTCGGTCATTTCTCGACCCAGTGACTCCTCATGTTCTTTTACGACCTCTGCTAAAAACTTCCTAAGACTCCCCGTCACGCACAAAACCCGGCCTTCCTGTCTTGTCTCATTTGGGTGAAAGGGCAGAGACCGAAAACATGTCTCCCTAAAACAGAAGATGTCCTACCTCCTACTTTGTAAATAAAACACGTACTTTTTGATGGTTCATGTTTCTGCCAGGAAATGTTGTCAGGGCAACAATTACTCATATTTGAACCAGGAAGACTGCCGGAAAAAGGGGACGCTACTTGAATGCGAAAACGACAATTGAAGTAGAAAGTGGCCCACTAGCATGTTGAAATGTTTGCCATGAATAATTCTTCGTTTTCTTCTTAACGTCCACAAACTGAAAACTTCGGTGGGGAGTTCTGGTTGATTGTCAACTTCTGGACTTTGGTCCATAACTAAGATGGATGGAATGTTAGGTGGAAAACTATGAAAAACTGAACAAGAAATGTTCTTCTGTTTCCTCTTTGAATTCGGTTTCGTATGCTCAGATCAAACCTTCAGATGGACTGCCTCTATGAACTCGCAAGTCAGTAGCAGGTCCTTTCCCACAATTTGCTTTTAAGGCCAGGTGTCTTTTCGAAATTGTGTGTAGAGTGGGAAAGTCTGCAGAATGTACTCAGGTGATTATGGTCTTGTTTGACAGGCACACTGTGATGACTGTACAATATTTTTTTTTTTGCATGTGATAGTTGAGCCTTCAGTGTCCTGTTCGTAGACGGAAAATTGTTTTCTCATTTACGTCCACAAGCTGTAAACTCGGGCGAAGAGTTCTGGTTGTTTGTCCACTTCTAGACTTTGGTCTTGTTAGAGAACTTGAGTGTTTTACATAGCTGGCTTATTTGTATGAAGAATGAAGGTTCCTTGCCTCTCAAGCAGACCCACTTCGAACAAAAGAAACCCATAATCAATCGACACGTACGACACGCTTGTTAATGACGCAGTGGGTCACATCTTAAATTACAACCCCTCCCCCCCCCCCCCAATTTCCCCGGGAATTCACACTGGAATGCCACGAATGTGTGCCTTTACAGTAAGAGCGATGTATCAGTCTATGAAAAAGGAAAATTAAAGGATCCTTTTCAACGCCTTTAGGCGTATAGGGCATATAGGGCTAGAACTATATATTTATAGACCAATCGGCAAAGATGGGTGATGTGGTCAGCATCACGCCGGCCGCCTTTACTTCCCGGGACTGCATCAGGTACCCACTCAAAGCTGGGTCGACCTGGGAGCCAAGGTCATTTTTGAAAAAAGTCCGGCTCCGCCAGGGAGCGAACCCTTCCGAGACGCTTGGCCCCTGCTACTCCCGACTCCAGTGTTTGCTGTTAAACAAATTAGAGTCCCTTTTTAATGCCAGTGGCGAATTGGCAAATAAAGTTAGACATGTCTATATAGACCAGCCGGTGCCCGAGGGGTGATTTGGTCATGACGCTGCCGCCTTTACTACCTAGGATATCACCTTGTACTCGTTATAGGCTGTGTTGACCTAGAAGCCAAGGTCAATTTTGAAAACTAAATCTTACCCTGTGCAGATTTGAATTCTGGTCCTTCTGATCCCACACGCGAGGGCCTACCTACTACCATAGCTTTCTATTACCCGTTGATTCAGCTTGATAGAAGAATAACCGAGGTTTTGAGGTTTTGAACAATGGATCAACATCATGGAACACGGGTGTAACCCATAAGTGCTCCATTCATCTTTTAACTCAAGTCTCAGTTCGAAGAAGCCCAGCACCGTGCACAGGCTTTGTAGCACCGGTGAGGATCCTGAAATGCTTAAAGTAGATTTTATTTTTACCGTGCAGCGCTGTTAAGCTACTATTTTCGATTTTCAACTGCGAATGGGATTTTTTACGTGCGCAAAAATGCACACGGGCCTCCGATCTCACTAACCAGAGACCAGGGGGAATTATTAGAAGTTTAAGTCCGCTTGAAAAAATTCCAGTACTTACCGGGGATTGAACCCGGAACATCTAGCACTCGAGGCGGAAACCATGCCTCAGGGACCACGCAGCACCCTTGAAGAATAAATAAATAAATAAATGAAACAATAAATGAAATCATTGCACTCGTGACATTCCCACACGATCTCCGTCTCCTTTCTTGTAGCCAATGTAGACTTAGTGTGCTAATAGCACCGGATGCTGCATCCTGATGTTTCTTTCTCGGCCTTGAACATATTCCAGAAACCACCCCCCCCCCCCTTTCCCCAAAACTTTAAATTAGTCTGTCAATGTATAGATCCTTAGTCTGTTCTATTGCAATGTCCATTTGAACCCAGAGATCGTTAACACCTCTGCTGTATCATAAAGCAGCTAACCGACCAGAGGGGCGGCAGCAGCCAGTTTATCAGGCTGCTCAT